TGGGCCCAATGTCCCAATTCTCTGACTGTGAAGTTCCTTAGTCAGAAGCAATACTGCATGGAATATCATGACAGTGGATAAGACATTCTGCAAGTCCACAGATGGTGGTTTTGGCAAAAGCATTCCATGCAGGAAAAGTAAATCCATAACCAGAACAAATATATTCTCCAGTAAGGACAACATGTTGTCCTTTCCAGGGATGATATGATCCAATGCATTCAACCTGCTACTAGGTCTCTAGCTGGTCACCCCAGGGAATGGTGCCATATCTGAAGATTAGTGTTGGTCTCTGTAGTTGGCAGATCTGGCACTCAGCAGCATCTGTAGCTAGGTCAGCTTTGGTGAGCGGCAGTTCATATTGTCAAGCCCATACATAACCTCTGTCTCTGCCACCATAGCCATTTTATTCATGAACCCACTGGGCAATGACAGGAATGGCTGGGGAATAAGGCTTATTGTCATAGAATGGGTCATCCTATTTACTTGATTACTGAACTCAGCTGATGCTTTTGATGAGGATTTACATGGGGCACAAGTATCTTCACATCTTTTCAACATTTGGAGAAATCTATGCACATAACTCCTCCACAGATACCTTTCTCAACAATCTTCCAGTCATGCTTTTTCCAACTCCTTGACTATCCAGCCAATCCATTAGCTGCAGTCCATGAATCAATTAACAATCACACACCTGGCCATTTCTCCTTCCATACAAAATGTATGAACATGTGTACTGCCTAAAGTTCTGCCACTGTGAAGATTTCCCTTTGCTAGTATCTTTCAAGTTTGTCCCTGAATGGATTACAATGATGAAGCTGTCCACGTCTGGGTGGTACCTGCAGAAGGTATATAACCACCAGTAAACCAGGCCCTAGTCTTCTCTTCCTCAGTCAACTGAAGCTACAGCTACATGTTTGGACGCAGAAACCATTGTAATGAGAGTTTTAGAAACCATATACATTTGGACAACTTCTCTGTGTAACTTGTGTGTGCTTTCAGAACCTGCTCCAGCCCAATAACATATATATCATGTCCATTTGATGATGGATTGCTGCTATGCAGATACTACTTTATGACTTGGTAGGTCAGATAACACCCAGCCATGTAGGCAGCTTAGATCACATGGTAACTTTGTGGCCCATCTTCAAACATTCAGTTTGCACTAAGGCCCAACAGCAGGCCAAGAGCTATGTCTCAAAAGAAGAACAGTTGTCTGCAGATGATACTAGAGCCTTGCTTCAAAATCCCAAGGTCTCTTCTGTAATTCACCTATAGGGGCCTGCCAAAGGCTCCAAACATCAGCCCTATCTGCTAATGACATCTCAAGTACCATCAGGTCTGCTAGAGCATATGGTCCAAGTGGTAGAGCAGCATGCACCGCAGCCTGGATCTGTTGAAGAGCCTTTTCCTGTTCCAGGCCCCACACAAAGCTAGCAGTTTTCCAAGTCACTTAGTATGTGGGCCAGAGTAGCACACCCAAGTGAGGAATGTGCTGCCTTCAGAATCCAAATAGACTCACTAAATGTTGTGCTTCTTTCTTGCTGGTTGAGGGGCCAGGTGCAATGACTTATCCTTCACTTTAGAAGGATGCCTGCATGCCCCACACCACTGAACTCCTAAAAAAAAAAAAATCAGAGGTAGAAGGCTCTTGAATTTTGGTTGGACTTATTCCCCATCCTCTGATCCACATGTGTGTTACCAATGAGTCCAAAGTGGTTGCTACCTCCTACTCACTTGATCCCATCAGCATAATACCATCAACATAGTACACCAATGTGATATTTTGTGGAAAAGACTGATGATCAAGAGCCCTTTTAACTAAGTTATGACACAGGGCTGGAAAGATAATATATCCTTGAGGTAAAACTGTAAAGGTATACTCCGGCCTTGCCAACTAAAAGCAAATTGCTTCCGGTGGTGCTAATGGACAGGTACTGAGAAAAGGCATTTGCCAGACCTATAGCTGCATATCATGTACCAGGAGATGTGCTAATCTGCTCAAGTAAGGACACCACATCTGTCTGGCATAGTAGGTATAATCAGAGTCACCACTTGACTGAGTTTTCAATAGTCAACTGTCATTCTCATGGTCCATCTATCTTCTGAACTGGCCAGAAAGGAGAGTTAAAGGGAGATGTGGTAGGAACCACCCTGCATCTTTCAAGTCCTTGATGGCAGCACCAATTTCTGCAGTTCCTCCAGGGATGTGATAATGTTTTTGATTCACTATTTTCTTTGGCAGAAGCGATGCTAAAGGCTACCATTTGGCCTTTCCAACCATAATAGCCCACATTCCACACGTCAGGGAACCAATATGAGAATTCTGCCAACTTCTAAGTATATCTATACCAATTATTCATTCTGGAACTGTGGAAATAAGCACAGGATGAGTTCAGGGATCTACTAGACGTACTGTGAATCAGACTATCGCCCAAACTCCATTAAGAACCTGACCTCCATAAGCCTATACTTTAACTGGAGGGCCACAATATTTCTTGGGATTTTCCAAAATCAGCATCAATTCAGAAGAATATCCAACAGACCCTGGAAAGTCTGTTTGTTTCTTTTCCCCTAGTGAACAGTAACCTTTGTAAAGGCTGTAAGTCCATGTAGGTAAGGACTGTAGAAAGGCTAACAGTAAAACTTTTAGGTATTTTACCAAGGACATTCCTCAGGGGCTTTGGGTCTGCACACTGGCTCAAGTCTGGAAACTGGTTCCTGGGCTGACTCCCTTTTGATATGATCCAATAGAGGCTTTCCTTCATATATATGAGAATTTTTCTACTTATATAGATCAAACAAACTGTAATAGGCTTCTTAATCTATTTCATGCCTGAAAACACCATGATTGATGAGCCAGTACCAATAAGTCATATTGGTAAGTCATGCGACCATTACAGGTCAGGCCATTAAGAACATTGCTTTGTCCATGCTGCCCATTGCAGTAACTATAATCACCACACCTTTGGCAATTCAGTGCTGCCACCTGGCCTGATAGTTTGGGTCTCAAGTTAAACCCACTGCACTTAATTCATCCAATAGAGCAACAGCATCTCTAACGTTCAGGTGTGGCACAATGAAAAGGATGACAAAACTCTTCAATGTGCTGGTGCCCCCCTCACCGTTTTGCGTCTAGTAACATTAGTGAAGGAATAGTGTCCCTCCCATTGTGGAGGATTAGGTTTTATACAGTGTACCTACTCTATCACTGCAATTTCTCTGAGCCTTAAAATACCTCATCAACACTAAGTCAAGGGATAACAGGCATCTCCAACTCCTTTTCAGTAGGCCATCTTTTAACAAATGTTTCAGGCAACCATTCAAACATACAGAGAGAGAGAGAGAGAGAGACTCCAATTTGAAAAGAAATAACTGATTCCCCCAAATCTGAGGAATAAACTTTCCCTTTTGTTTGTTTTGTTGTTGTTGTTTTGATACAAGGTCTTACTATGTACCTTGGCTAGGCTGGGTGCTAGGTATACCAAGCTGGCTTCAAACTCATAGATCCATCTGCCTCTGGTGGGGGTCAAGGCATGTACTACCATAACCATGCCAGGATAATCCTTTCGACCAAACTCTAGAACCAGGACTAAGCTCTCATTCCTCCAAAAGCAGGAGGAAAATATGCAGTATCTCGGCCAAAACTGAAATATACTAACCAGAAATGGTAGGAAAAAATGTTCTCAAAATAAAAATATAAAATAAAAATAAATAAATAAATAAAAAGAGTTGCACCTGGTCAGAAGTAAATAACCATCACCATCCAAGTCTAGCTCCTGGGTAGGTAGTGTGCAGCATTGGCTACTCAAGAACAGATAGATATACATAGTCCCTGCTCCAAAGCAGCCAGCCCCTCTCCTCCTGAGGACTCTGTGCAGCAAGCCTCTGGTACCCAAACCAGAAATACTAAGCTTGGCACTGAGGGGAGTTGCCCTCACTAGCTAGGAAGAAAAATGCTAAGATCTGTGCAGAGAAATGCAGAGCGGTGGTTCAGGCTGACAGGAGAAAAGGAACCTCATCAATTGGGCCCTTGAATCCTATTGTGGTATGTGGCTTTGGAGAGTGAGTTATGTTGTGAGGGCCTTTACTCAGTGAGAAGAGGAACAAAGTACAGAGACTATTAGAGCAGAGAACCTCCCCTTCTGAGGTGGTTGGCCTGGCCTTTTACCCTTGGCTGGGCCAAAACATGGGGGCCCGGGTTTTGTCATGGGCACCTCCTTCCTGCCCACACTGGCTGCTCCACAGCAGAGACAGACAGGAGGCAGGCCCTGCAACACCTACTTAAGAGAGGCAGATGGAGAGGAGAGAGTGCGTGGGATGCCTTTACCTCCCCCTCAGGAGGCGCCCAGCAGGAGCCCACAGAGCCAGCAGCTCCAAAATCGGATTTCCACACATCCTCCCACCCCAGAATGCCTTATCCCTCTGGCAGGAGGAAACAGAACATTAAGCAAGTATGGCTCTGGTGTGCAAGGGGATTTCAGAAGGTATGAAGATGTCTTCCCACACTTCTGCACTTTTCTGGAACTTCTACAAAGGTAGCCAGGTTGAGAAGTTATTCAGACACTGATCCAAAGAAGGCAAAGATGCTACTTCAAGGAGCACACAATCAGCGTCTGCAGGCTGTCCTGAGCTAGACACATACTTTATTAATAATCTTACATATACAAAATGTCCACAGGGAAGCCTAACAGACTAATTTTTGACAGCTCCAGATAACAGAAGGGACTAAAGCCCTGTTCACTCTCCAGTTTCCTCATACCACTCAGGAGCAATGGGCCCTTCCCACCCAAGAAATGTGATGGAAATAAATAAATACAATTATCTGCAGGACCTTCAAGTGCAAGAGCAACACCACAAAGTCCTTCTCCCCAAGTACAGTGACTTGTGGGGAACAGATAGCACACCAAAACAACAGCTGGAAAACTTAATTACAGAAGGACTATACAAAGCTGACAACTGTTTCAAAGAACCAGCCAATGACTGAAGCCCTTCTCCCTTACCTTAAGATACAGAAGCAGCTCTTGGCTCCTGAAGATAAGCGGCAGAACCCGAATCTCTGTTTGCTGTCAATGTCAGTGAGCACAAATGTGAAGTTCTGGCCAACTTGGCTAACTGTGAGACTGCAGACAAAACAGAACAAAGGGAGAAATGAATGTGTGCTACGTTTCCAGATAAAGTATCTAATCACCACAAGTCATTGAACTTGTTACATTTCCTTTGTGGAACTTTATAAATGAGCTAAAAAGTTACACACTTCAAGGGAACAGACAAGAAAGTGGAGGGAAATGAAGGGAGAGGAGGAGGGAAGAAGCAAGAACAGAAGGGGGTGAAGAAAAAGAGAGGGAAGACAGAAGGAGGGAGAAGAAAATAAGGAAAGGAGCCTGTTTTAACGATCATCAGAAGTAAAAAATCATCAACACTCTCCAGTGTCCCTGACTGACTGAATTCAGGCCCCAGTTAGCTAGGTCAATCAGCCATCAATGCTGAAAGAAGCACTCTAACCACCTCAAAGAGGAAGAAAGCTGGCTCAAGCACTGCCAAAGGTACAGCAGCTGAGTGGCCAACAGCTGTTTTTTAAGCGTTGCTGTGACTCCAATGGCCACAGCACCAGCTCACTGCCACCCAGAGGCATTAAACTGTCTACTATGCACCAGCTATGGTTAAATATCTAATGTAATATTTCATTTATTCTCATGATTATCTTGAAATTTCATCATGGTCTCATTTTACAGAAAAGGACCCTCAAGACTAGTTAGGGAACTGACTCAGGTTCAGTGAGTACTAGGAAGAGCCATCATAAACACCAGAAGGAAAGGGGGCAGGGTTATGCCTTTTTCTCCTGGATTCCTGAATTGTTGATACTTTCTGAACTTTGAGGAACATATTTATTATCTTAGAGCACAGGAATTCCAAAATGTTAAGTTTGCTCAAGGGGCTAAAAAATTAATGTTTCAAGCCATTCAGAAGCCAAAAATTCTTTTATCAGTACAAAATAAGCCAACTACACATGAAAGCAATATAGAGCAGAAAATATCTAATAAATAATTTAAAAGAGTATTAAAACCAGAATAATCTAAAACTCTTTTAAGTTACAAAATGCTTCAAAATGCACAATTTTTAATCAGTTTACCAGTTATCCTATATCTCACTCTTTTAAAAAAAAAAAAGTAAACATTCGTTCCAAATTCTAATACATAAGTTTACACTGATACAATATTTTAGAATTTGACAGTGAATTAAACCAAGAAATTCAGCAGCTTGTACATATCTATATTTCACAAAGTACTCAAACTGATAAGACTCTGACTGTGTTAAAATATTCAAATTGCCAGTAGAAATGAAAAACCATTTCTTAACAGGCCTTTACCAAAGGCAGAACTATATTGTCTTTGGGTAGGCAACAAACTAAAATTTCAAATATAGAATAGACTTTCTTAAGGTCCCCTATACAAGTCACAAAAGAAAAGTAAAATTGAGGTATCCCAGCACAAAGGTCAAGGGCCTTGCCTAGTTATATTTAAGGCAACAATTCTATCCCTCGGAGAGTGCTTCAAGTAGAGGAAAATGGCTCTGAAAGACAAGAAAATGTTCCACTCTCTTTACTTAACTAGGGAGGTGAACAAAAACAAGGTGGCAATTTCAAAGCCATGTGGTAATAAAACAGGTGTAAGTAATGCTATCCCCCACCTTACAGCTAGGGGAAGGAACACATTTCCATAAAAGTTATAGAGCTGTCAAGGGGACACGAAATGCTGCCTTCTTATGGCTGTTATGTTTTATCTATAAAGCTTGGATACAGTGTTACTATGGTGATTTAATACTATGTTTTAAAGGAGGATTATATGATTAATTTTAACAAGGTTGAAAAGTGAAGATGTGTGAGAAACAGGATTCTAGCTCACATAATTAAAGTGATCTGGGAAGAAAGTGGGCCTCAGTGGGGGAGGGGAAGCCTGTTTTTATTAAAATACCTAACGCAACAGGTTTAGATAAGTCCAAGATACAAATAAGGTCACATTTTTGGGAAATGTTACTGTGTGATCCTACCAAATGTGATTCATTATTTTGGAGTTTGATTTTATTCCTAGAATATGCAAAATGAAAACTCCTAGAAAAGAAGGCTATTGATAGGACTATGTGAAAAACAAAACAAAACAGGTCTCTAGGAAAAAGACCCAGTATGAAAATGACTTGACCTGCAACTTGGCTGCCATTAATTTCCTACTCTTTACATTGCCATTAAAAATTATTTAAAAGCTGGCTGTGGTTGTGCACGCCTTTAATCCCAGCACTCAGGAAGGCAAAGGCAGGCAGATCTCTGTGAGTTCCAGGCCAGCCTGGTCTACAAAGTGAGTCCATGACAGCCAAGGCTACGACAGAGAAACTCTGTCTTGAAAATAAGCAAAAAGAAAACAAGAAACTAAAACAAAACAAAAAACAAACCACAAAAAGCAATTAAAGAACAAAGTATGCATAACTGACTATAAGCTCAAAGAAAGCCTCATTGTTGATTGGCTCGGTGCAAAGCCCAGCTCAGTCATCACTACCTGGGCCTTAACTTGGCAAGTTTCTTAAAACCAGCTTTTAGCACCTCAAGTTCTTTCCATGGAATAATTATGAGAAGCTACAACTCAGCCCCAAGTATGCTTTGGAAATCAGGGGGATAAATATATATTTTAAAGGCCAGTCCTGAGTAGGAATAATTAATAAAAGGTACTGCTACTGATTGATTGAAGATAAAATTCACAGGAAGGTGATGATTTACAGAGTCTCCCTGACCAATTCAGCTTTCTAACACCTGAGCTGTCATTTGGTGAACCAAGTGATTCAAGTTTGCATTAAAGTGAATGATTCTTTTGGGGATGTTGCAATTTAGAAGGAGACATTTATTATTCTCAATTGAGTCACCTTTTTAATTCCTAGAAGGGATGAAGTACAGGTCATCAAAATCACAAACATAGTCGACTCATTTTTTTTCCTCCCCTTGGACAACATCCAACGAACTATCTGCCAGGGGCAGTCAAACAGAGGTTAACTTGAAGGTTCTAAATTTCCAAAAAAATGTATTCACTATTTTTCATAAAAAGAAAAAAAAAAAAGGACTAGGGGGGTCTGCTTTCTCAAAAGCTGCAGTTCGTTTCCTTTTAATATCAGCATCTGTAATTTCTACAAGAATCAGCAATTTCACAATGATTAAAGCAAAAGGAACCATAGGAACCATGTGATCCAATTTTCTTGTTTTATGGGTGGGAAAACTGAGGCTTAGGGTTTTGTTTTGGTTTTCAAAGTAATTAGGACTAGGGCAAAAATCCAAGCCAAGTTGTGGTTCAATGTCCTTTTCCATCCTGCCATGCTACTCTAAACACAAGGCCAGCCCTCCCCTAGAAGTCTCACCTCAGGTTAAGGAACTAAATTATGACAAGAATGCAGAGTTGTCTTGGCAAATGGATTGTGCTTCTCATTAAGCTCCAGAAAGCACATTTGGGCACCTTCAGAAATAAGCCCAGCTGGCCAGGCCCAGGAACACCCTTAGATACTCTTCCCACACTTAGATGAATGTACAAAACAAGGGAACATACCAAGAACTAAGCTTAGATTGTAACCTGAATGCTACCCTCTAAATGCTAATCAGCTGTTCTTCTCCGCTAATTTGTTTAATAGGGTGTTTAATATTTTGTTTGAAGTCACTTATAGATTCAGTGCATGAATAACACAGAGTATGTGGATACAAAGTTTGAGTCTGGTCTTTCAGTAAGAAATGAGACTTTACATGTCAGACTCACTTTGAACTTACCCATTTTGCACACTGGACTAGGTGCAAACTACACAGGGTGATATAATATGTGCTGAAAGCACAAGCAGAACAACACAGAGACCTTGTACTTCACATGGCTGACTACCTAAATGCACAGCAGCATCACATTGAGTTGCTATAAAAAGTGAGCACCAGGTCATGAGAATGCCTCAATGAACAAGTCATGTTAAGATATTAGCTCTTTTGGGTGGGTGTGGGATGGGGGAGATGTTTGGAGTAATGAAAAGCCCCTGAACAGTTCTACTCAAAAGGAAAGCATTCATCTCAAAACATCTAAAGGAAATTCAAATACAGAGTTGAACACACTAGTTAAGAAAGCCATGGAAATGTTTGAGTTGGAGGCATACATTCAGAAGTTATCTGAACAAAGGTGGTACTGAACACTACAGAAATGGTGAGGTCACCTTAGGAAAAGAACTCAGAGAGGCAGAAGAGTGTCTAGGACTCATTCACAGAAACACCAATTGAGACAATAGATAGAAAAAGGACCACCAAAGAAAAAAAAAAAAAAGAGACAACCACCAGGCAGAACAAACAGGAGGGAAGGTCACCTGCCCTGATACGTCAAGATGAGAAGGAAAAATAACAATCACTGTGAATGATAGGAGGCCTTAGGTAGCCTTGGTTAGAACAGTTGTAGCTGAAACACAAAAGCAAGAGAGGCTGAAGAATACTGAGGAATGAGTTGACAGTTATAGATAATTCTTTCAAGCAATAAAGAACCAGACAGTAACTGGGTGGGGAGAGTTTGGGAATGGAGAAATAACAGAAGTTGTTTCTAAGCCACTGAGAATGACATAGGAGAGAAAAGACAAAATAGTGAGAGCTGTACTTTGTATAAAAACAAATAAATTACTGTACCTCTCTGATCTCTTCTGTAAAATCAATCATCATACTGCAAAGTGGTTTTAAAGATTATAAATCAAGAATATAAAGTAACTAGTACATAGTAGGCACACAACAAAAATGACCATGATTGTTATATATAAAACATGTACGTATGTTGTATACAAAATTCATGGTCCAAACTAAAACACTGTCACCTCTGCTTACTGTAGCTTACTAATAATCACCTGAAGAACTGTCTACTGACAACTTACCCTGTCCTTGAGAGTTCATTAACTGCTAGGCAGGAGACAAGCTTTATCAAATTCTACCTCCCATCCTGACTTTCTGTGAACTGCAAAGCTTTCCTACATATGTATGTACACCTTGGCATTTGCCTGAGCCTCAAGCTTATCATCCCTGCATAGAGAACCAAGTATGGAGAATGACAGTCTTCCAAGAGTTCTGGGCAGGAACAATCTGTTGCTGACTGTTTAAAAAAAAAAAAAAGAGTGTAGCCCTTCTGCTCAAGAAAACCACCAGACATTTCTAAGGGAAAAAAAAAAAAAAAACAAAGAAAAAAAAACAAAGATCTGCCCTGATCTTGTCTATATAAGCCTGACAAAATAAACTGTCAATAACCACAGAATTTAAATATATTAAAACTAGAGGAGAGAACTTCCCAGTTCCCAGGAGAGAAGTCATACACCTCCCTCTCAGACACAGCAAGTCAAGGAGAGTACCCAAAGGGTACCTACATCTCTCTACAGGCCACCCCACACCCTGTCACTCAGGCCAATTACCATGCTACTCACTAATGCTGTAGAAATGACTATGAGACACAGCAGAACCAATCATTTACACTAAGCTAAAGGGCTAAAGTCTAGCAGAACAAATATATGGAGCAGAAACAGAAGTATGGGAAGGTCTATACTGATGCACTAACCAAGAGACAACTCTGTATCTGTGTAGAAGTCATTTTCTTCAGTTATCTAAATTTTGTACTTTTCTACAGTAACTATACATTATTTCAAAAGAAATTACTTTATGCTGTGTTAGCTAATGACAAAGTATGGTAAAGCAAAAAAAAAAAAAAAGTAGAACTAGAGGTTGCAGCAAAATGAAGGCTTTGTAAAACAGTTCCCTCCACACACTAAGTAAATACCTTATTCCACACCTTGAGCACATTACTGAACCTACCTGGGCCTTTGCTGCCCATATGCAGAATACCAACTGTAATAATACTGCAAATAGCTTGTGTGTCAGCATAAGAAAAAAACACTGTACAGTGCTCACCAGATACCAGATACAAGCTAACATACCAAATAGCATCTGAGCCCCTCTTGTGGCTGCATCTAAAACCATGAAACCGTGTCACTTCGTTTTGTATACCTGGTGAGTCTAGAATGGGGCATGTCTCCCATTTACTCTGAGAAAGTGCTTTTATCACTAACAATGAACCCTTCTTGAGACAATGCAGAAACTCAGTGCTTACTTTACTCCTGCCACCAAGGGCTTCAAGACAGTAGTGGGTAGAAAGAACTCTGGAAGGGAATGAGTTCCTTCCCCAGCATTGTGACTGTGGTTATGATGATAGATAAGACCTTTCTCTTCTGTGGATCTTGACTTCTGTAAAATGGAATGTCTGCAGCAGATGCTGCACTCTCAGACCCTGTAGGCACATTTTCAGAGCCTTCTGTGGCCAGAGCCCAATCTCTCACAGTACACGGCAGCCTCCCTCCCCAGCAGGCTCCATCTGCTCTGGCTGAACATCTCCAGGCTCACTCAGGGTTTCCCCTCTGCTTTGCTCTGTGGTGCATATGGAGTGTTAGGCTCACTCTTCTACTTACCTACTTCTTGCTGGTCTGGCAGACTCAACACAAGTCTCACCCACCATAACAAGTTCTCTCTGAACATGTTAGTCTTCTGTTACCTAGCCATTCTTTCAAACAGTGTTTAAAATGTCTTTACAGAACATCTTGAACTACACTGGGAAACACACAGAGGACAGAGCTTCATATCTGAGACCATTTCTATATTCTGCATATACCTCAACATAATGGGACCTATTCTAAATAAGCTCCTACTTTCACACCACTGCTGAAAGAGTAAGGGAGGAAGTAACCAGTCATGGTAGCACTTTGACTAAAATTAACTAGGCACTCAAAATTAATTTTCCTTCCTTTCCCCCCTCCCTCGGTTTCTCTACTTTGATAACTAGTCTTTCTCAAAAGGTGATCTAGTGGGAGATGAAACCTAGGACAGGCTATAAGCCTAGCAGCTCGTAATTCCTCCACAGTCAAGACAGTTTCAAATAAAGGACACTTACTTGCTCTTTTCTCTTGCAGCTGGATGATAAAATGAGATAATACATGAGAAAGACTCTCTTCGCAGAGCTACTAGCATTATTATTTTTGATAAGTCCTAGTTTCAGAAAGAACAACCTTAAAACAGCACAAGAGATGGCAAAACGTCAGTGCTGATGGGTGACTTGATGACCACTGTGAAGGTCCCACTCTTGATACAGACTAGAATGTCAGAAAGTTGCATGACTATTCCATAAGGAAGAAAACCATAGAACCTGAAATCAGAAAACACTTTCACCTAGGAAACTGCTCATCTCATCTCCCAGTCTGGTCTACTTGCTAAGTCAAATAGTTCCAAAGACCTGGGTAAACTTGCGGACCTCAAAATCTGGATTTATCTATTTGACAGTGTTAACAACTAATTTAAAAAAGAATTCTGACATTAAGATCTCTATATTTCTCACAAATGACTAGTTATGATAATCTCTTCTATACTGAATTATGTCTACCTAAGAGGTACAAAAAAAGGAAAACTATGGTCTCCCAAATAAAGTGGGATCTTCTTTGTTTTGCTTTTTGGGGGCTCCAGTAGAAGTTACCTTAAGGAATATAATATTATGTGAAGATGAACTATTACACACTGAATATCAAAATATATGCCTAATAATGTTGCAGAATAAAAAATAAAAACACCAGTGGTATGAGTGATTTGCACAAATGTGTTTTTACAAGAAAATATTTTTCCAGTAACAATAAAGATGTATCCAATGTTACATGTGACAAAATAGGAAGAGAGAGAGAGAGAAAGAGTGTGTGTGTGTGTGTGTGTGTGTGTGTGTGTGTGTGTGTGTGTGTGTTTCAGAATTATCCCTGAAGGAGTTCTACTTTACTTTTAGGACAGAATTATGCAGATGGGCAGGCAAGCAAGGTGGTGTGTGCAGAGTAAATGAGAGGTATGTGTTTGTGTGTACACATGTGAGTGCATACTACATACGGTGAAGCATGTTTTCTAATATTAGTTTACAAAGTCAATTAAATAACACTTATTTGAAACAGATCACCATTCTAGCAAGTAGTCTTATCAAAATGTCTTACAAATTTTGCTAAACATCTAGCTACATTTAGCTTTATTAATTTGTATAACTGTGTCTTTTCAGTTCCTTAGGTGACTAGAGATTTTATACACTGCTGATTCATACATATAAATATAAAATTTTTATTAAACATCTATCAACAATACCCTATACTTCTTGCTATTTTTTAGAAGCAATAAGATAGGGAGGAGAGAAGAGACACTCATTATACACACAGGCCCTCTTAAAATTAAGGCTATTCTGTTTTGAGCACTGACCTACTATTGAGATATCCTGGTACCAGGTTTTAGGATCTCTGAATCTGAAAGCACTACAATGGCGGACTGGCTTAAGCACAAAGCGTGAGAACAGGGAGAGCACTGATGCTAAGCGGCTGGCAGCATTCCAGAGCGGCGTTTAGTACGGAAACTCCTTTGGCTACCAAGTCTCATCGGACACCACTCTTAGGCTTATGTCAAATGAACCAGGATACTGCTATTACAATATATAGAAAAGAATCAGTAGCACACTATCCACATACACGCTAAACCACCTATATCCTTTAGATCATGCCTTATTTGTGGATGCTAAAAATACATGATAGAATCTCCTGAAGAAGGTTTATACTTTACCCAGCTTTCTTGGAATATGTTATAAAATTCATTAATCATAATTTGCTTATTTTCTACAAACTCTCTAACACTAAAAGTGGAATTTGAAAAACAAAACAAACAAACAAACAAACAAAAAACAGAATGCACATAGAGTCTCAGTTCCATTTCCCAAGAAAACCAAAAAGAGACAAGGAAGTAGACAAATGAATAATCACAAAAATAACACTTCACTAGCACGAAGACCACACAAACAATTCATGAAAATAAAGATCAGCACCTCATCATTTGACTAACAGTAATAAATTACAATTAAAGAAAGTTAAATGAAGTTTTTGAAAAATTGCTGTCATAGTGCAGGGGATTAGTTAACAAACAAAACAAAATGGGCCTCATAGCATTTCAGTTATCCTAGAGTTCTTATAGTTTTACCTTTCCCTTGAATCACTTCTCGTGATATGAATACTAAAGACTGTTTAGAAGCTTGTGTATGCTTTAGTAGTCACGCCTATAGAAAATGCTGATTCCCCAGAGACAGTACCTTCAGTCTCTTAACCCCAATGTAAAACACCATCTAGCAACTTATCTTCTAAGCAGTAAAGTGCTTCTAAACAAGACAGCTCCTTATCTATTTAAATTTTGAGTTGAAACCAAGGAAAAACAAACCATAAGGCCAGGTGGTTGTATAGCATTAGTTTAAGCCAAATATAATAATACTTAAATACAAATTCAACAGTATTTAATTAAATACCAACCATTCTTAATCATGGTTTAAGTCTGGTAACCAAAATCAAAAAGTTAATGCCACACAAAAATACATCTCACAAACTATGGAACACACAGCTCTAAGCTTTAAACTTTTTGATAGTGTCAATAAAATTCCCAAAAAAAGGAGAATACTGCAACTCTCCTTGGAGCAGAGGTGCTTTAAATCATGGTTAAACAGACAGAATGTTAAGAATGGCATGGCTTTTATTTTCTATAGCAGGTTTATTGCTACTCTTTTTTTTTTTTTTTTACTAATAAAGTTTGAAAATCTGACACTACCTGTCCACATAGAAGGGAAAACAAAACTTGGTCAAAGTCTGTAGAACTTCCTGTGGAGAAAAAGAGAGATAATTTATACATCTAATGGGACCAATAAATCTAACATTAATCACAGAACACCATCTAGCAACTTTACCCTAAAGAAGGAAGAGACAGATGAAGAAATATGTGCTTTATCAATTACACAGGAGAAGTACGAGGCAGTCAATCATGAGAAATAATAAATGTGATCAAACTTCATTAAAAATGAAAAATTAATCAAGAACCACACATGGGCAAGCAGCAGGAGCCACGCAGGGAAGCTCCGAAGGGAGGGAGGTGCTTGGGTTGCTGAGTGTTAACACCCCTCCAGGGACCATCTCCAGCCTGACCATATGGATCAGAGTGAATAACACTGAGCCACATGGGTTTGGCCTGGCAGGGCCGCTGTTGCTGGCACTGTTTTTGCTTGTTACCTAGGAACAGAGGGGGCCAGGATTAGACAACGCTTCCCACCATCAATAGGCCAAATTACAGCAGAATAAAAAGCCAACTTGAAGATAACTGTTCCTGAACATTTTTAGAGTTTAAAACTTTATTTAGCTGTTTTATCAAGAGGTTGCCATTTTTGGCATACAGTAATTTTGGAAAACTATGACCACTGTTTTTAGTTAAACATCATTACCATAATTAGACATACTTACCTGCTTGAAACTTATGAAAATCCAAAGCAAACTATCAGTATGAATAAATGTTTTTACAAATCCTGAGGTACATCAAAGCATGCAGTTTTGTTAGGAGAAAGGTACAGAAAGTAGCAACATCTCAAAAGTTTACTTATAAAAGACAGTGTTCTTATAGTAAGACAAGAGCATTGGAACATGCAACACAACATGGGGGGGAAACTTTTCCTAATAGACACATTTTACATATACATATGCACATAAATGCACACAGCTAATCATAATTAACTACTACTTCCTTCATAGAATTTACTATAGCTTGACTTAATTTTACCACAGGCTTGGACGGCCCACAGTTGGTGCTTATTGTAAGGTCACTGACCAGTGTTATAAATTTTAAAAAGTATTCCTTTCATGAATTTGATTTTCTTTTTAACTATTTAAAATCCCAACCTCAAGACAAAATGAAGAACACATTTTTTGTTTTTGTTCACTGGGAAACTGGTTCGAATTAAAACAAACCTGCCTGTTGCAAATACCAATCCAAGTGATAAATTAAAGATCAGTTTACAAATGTAGCACTTTTTTAACCAATAATAATGAATTATCAATGCTAACTGAATTGATGCTTCTCGCTTCATTTATTTTTAAAACCAGTTCTATCATTCAAGAAATAAACCACATCAATCTAATAATCCATTCAGTGAAGCAGAAAGCACATTGACTTGCTCTGCCAGAGTGTGTTCTGCCAACACAATTCAATTGAGCATATCCTAGTTTTAATATCATTTTGGATTGGGTATATGTAGCACAGCACTGTTAAGGCATGCCATAAAACAGTATGGACTAAAAAAGTAGGTAAGAATATCAGCATGTTTTGAGAGGTATTTACCTATCAGTTGGACATTCTATGTGGCATCAGTAAGTCTACCTACTGTGGTTTTAAACCAGTAGTATGTAACTAAAATAAAGTATCATATAAGGATCAGTTTCTGAGTACAAAGAGACTGTATAAAACACTCATTTAAATGTAACTGTAAAATATATATTCACATACAAAACTCCATGACACCATGACAACACCAAAAACATCTCTCAACTTATTATACATTTTTAAAAAGTCAGTATCATGTGCTCACTCATTGGCAACATCAGCAGCTACAAAGACAGTTATCTTGTCCTTTTCAGAAGTTTCAGGTACAGAAAGCACTTCTCTATCTATGCTGGAGTTGTGCTGGCAAAAGAGCTCAAAAGATTTTTTGAAAGAAAGGACCCCCCATAGCTATGAAAAAGCATTGTGCTCTAAAGCAGAGTCAAAGGAATCAAATGTGCCGAACTTATTACTCACTATGATATAGAAACTACTTACCACTTTCTAATGTCAAGAGTAATGACCAACCATGGACTTGTCAGTCAAATAACATTAGAATATGAAAATAACCAATATAGGCTGAGTATAACTCACCCTCCCCAAACTTTCCTTTCTATCCAACAAAGTGGTAGGGTAGGGGAGATGAGGGAATAGGGGGATGTAGAAATAGGGGATGCAGGCATGTGTTTGCATATTACCGTATGTTTCTTCATGTTTGTGATGCCACAAGAGTTTGATATTTCAATTTAAATCAAACAAGATGATGGTGTGCTGTCAGAGGGGGAAAATGAGCATCTATCTGGTAAACAGGCATAATCACATGATCTCAGTCAGAACTAAAATACCTACTTGTGAGTTTGCGGATGGGGGACAAGAGAAGAAACAAGCAATGTTCTTTGTAAATAAAAATTGCCAAAATAAACCAATTTTCTGCATACTGATGTTTTCATCATATATAAATATTCAGTTTCCTTATCCTCTTTGTCCAAAGAAAAACACAATTATTCAAATATGGAAAGATCACTCTCTAAGGGAAGGGGAGTAAAACCCTGATTTGAATATTTTTTGAGCCTTCTAGTTATTGCAGAGTATCCCAGAATCTTTCAACACTAATTTTACAGGGGAACCAATCATTGACCAAGGGGTTTTCTCTTGAGAACTATGTCTGGCTAGGGAACTTGGTTTATAGATGTCAGTTTCACTGTTCTTTCCCCCACCCAAGCTCTTTCAGCCAGCCAGCTTCAGCTCAGCCTGCACTCCTGTAGCATAAAGGGGATCTCAGAAATGCAGGGCAGCTGATGAAATGTAAAAGACCTCATTGCAAAGGTGGGGGTGGGGAGGACTGTGTTCCAGTTTTCCAGATCAATTCCCAAGTTTATATTTTCACAAATCTTTTTATGTACAGTTTGATTTTTTAGCATTTTAATGAGAAAAAATGGAAAGGAAAAAAAGTGAATCTATAGTAGCCAGTCACCATAGTTAAAGTGCAGGGCATGAACTAGATCCCAGGAGGGAACCAGTCCACCATGTCACCAGTGGCTTTAGGACATTTGCCACCTGGTTCCATGTCCCTAGGTTCCAACTCTTTTCATAATCAAAACACTGCTGACATTATAAACCCCAGATGGGTTTTCTAAAATCCCTCCCAATCAATATATCCAACATATAACTTATTGGAGACAACACTGAGCTCATTGATTAAGGTGAGTTTGGTAGCAAAGTTTTCAAAATAAATGAGACAAGAATACAGTACCCAACCCCTTTGTGTCACCAGACAATTTATGAAACAGCCAATTTCCAAAATGTTTTTCTTTCTAACAGAATGTATGATATTTCATGTGGGAAGAAACAGGAGGGGGGCCGTCACAAAACTCTTTCAGTTATGCATATATTAAATAGCCAGCTGTATGGGTGCAGGAAAGTAATATCCACAAAACTGTCCACCAGGAGACCAAGCCAACACAGCCAAGGCAGGATGAAACAACCAAAGTCAGAAATGAACTAGTGCTAATATTGGTCTACTCTGAGTTTATCTTACCTAATAAGATGTCTCACCTCTGGTCAGAAAGCCCATCAAGGGAATTTTCACACTGTAGAGAAAGAGGGTATGTTCCAACACTGAGGCATTCTCTTAAAAACTAAGCCAAGTTTTATATTTTCAATAACCATTATAGAATCAGTAAAACTCTGAAGACTAAATTCAGTGAACTTATCTGGAATCATGAGAAGGTTTGACCATGTCACTCTAAATCTGGGCTATAAAGAAGAGTTGTGTGCAGGCAATCCTGTAACAGGCATCCTTCCTAAGTGGTTCATTTTCAATTATTCAGTGAAACTTATAAACAAAAGTAACTTTTATTTGGCAAGGACAAAAACAGCAGTGAGACATATCCCACAAATAAGTGCCCTCTGAAGGATGAAAGTGGCAGCTGATATTAGAGTGCCTCCTAAAAGTACAGAATACTGAGAGATGGGGCACATCTTCTATAAGTGAAGGTTGGAGGAAAAAGGTGTGCAAGAAAACATCTAAGAAATACTGTGAATAAATGGATGTATTTTAAATTATGTAAAACTATAAATAGCCTTTTAAGCGCATTCTAAAAGCTGGCAGATGAGCTAATAATTTACTTTGGGGGAGAGGGGTTATGAAGAGGCAGGCAGCCAGTGGAAGAAGGGGGATGGGGGATGAACGAGAGGAGGGCAACCAGTGGGAAAACATTTCCTGGATTGTTGTTGTTGTTTTTTATAATATCTAATTTGTTTATTTCAAAACTGTAGGTATGTGAGGACAAGAGAAGCTCAAATTCCTAACATACTGTGTTTAAATAGTTTGGGTTTTGTTTTGTTTTGTAGCATGAGGGAGAGCTGACCCTTCAACTCCTGCAAGTGAGAGCAGAGCCGCTGATGGGAAAGAGAAGCCTTTGACCGATGGATGATCTTAAAACTCGAGCTAAAAGTTATAGAACACATACAATCTGATCCAAACATACAAAAAGCTAACAAAATTTGTACTTTAAGCCATTTCAAGTTAAAGGCAGAGACTCCAAGGAAAAGCTGACAAAAGTTTCTAATGTTTATGATTAAGAATGGTAAAGCAGAGTCTCCTGGAAGCTTAATTAGCATCAAGTTCAAGGATGTTAATCTGAAGTTTTCTAAATGTGAAATCAGTAAATAAAATTTTATTTTTCCAATATAAGCATCAAATTAAATTCAAGATCCATATCATGGTTAAAAAAATTTTTCCCCTCTCTCTCTCCCTCCCAGTAAGACAAAGAGGCTTTGAAAAAGGGTTTTACAGAGGGCCTTTCAACAATGAACATTTTTGCTCAAATGCACTGTCTGCCAATTTTCTCTTTTAAGGATATTCAATATTTACTCCCAGCTTATTTTTTATAAATTTTAATTTTTAGTTATGCATATAATTATAGACTTTGAATTATACCTAACATTTAGAATTAACGTAGTAATTCAAAGGTAACATTATAATCAAGTAAATTCATCATACTCTGTAAGGGTA